GAAAATGGCTGCCGGACATTGAAAAACTTCGCTGAACGGTGAGTTTAATGCATTCCAATGGCTTTTTTCTTACCGCTCAGCGATGTTTCACACAGCGAGGGTTAATCCGGGACGGATTAACCTCGCTGTGCAAGGCACCACTGTACAGTGGTGCCTCGCTTAAGGGCGATAATCCGTTCCAGGAAAATTGCCATTAAGCGAAAACATTGTAAAGCGGGAAAAAAACCCATTGAAATGCATTGAAACCCCTTCAATGCGTTCCAATGGGGGTCAAAACTCACCATCCAGCGAAGATCCTACATAGGGCAGCCGTTTTCACTGCCTGTCTTGTGAGGAATCCGTCCCAGAAAACAGTGGGGAGCCATTTTGTTTACCCAGTGGCCATTTTGAAACCGCCAATCAACTGTTTTAAAATCATCATTTTACAAAGAATCGGTTCCGGAACCAGAGAACTGATCATCGCAAAGCGAAAAAACCCCATTTAGACCATCGTTTTGCAATCACAATTGCGATCGCAAAAAGATCGTCGTAATGCGGTTTTCTTGTAATGCGGGGCAATCATAAAGCGAGGCACAACTGTATTGTCTTTCTATTACATCTGATGAACACTGCCCATTTTCAGTATGCCTTAAATTGTCTCATCCAGATGGAGCATTTATTCCCATGTCTGTACTTGATAATGTGCTTATGTTACAACCCTTTTTTCCATCATACGGACAACTCAACGCTTAAATTGGTACTAACACTGACAACAAATGTCAAAATACCTAGCTTTCCACCTTTCCAAAGCCAACTCTGTAGGTATATGTTTCATTTTGTACTGGAGCCAGAGTTCAGGCAGCATGAGCTTCTTGGATTAGAAGCTTTCAGTGTTACTGCTATTCCAACAGTGCCCCCATGGAAGATCATTTTTCCTCAATGTGTTCGGGGGAAAAAATGCTTTGAAAGACTTCCAAAGATTTCCAAAGTTGATTAATAGTGGAGTGAGCCTCCACTGGAAATGGTTCCTATTGGAACCCATTACTGATAGCAGTTCATAGGCATCCTTCAGTCTCGAGAGACTATGGTAATGTGCTCTGTATGGAGGACTTCAACGCTGTATGCAAAGCTGGATTGTCCTCTCCAGAGCACGAAGCCTGGGTAAAATAATATGAAAGATAGGCTGTTACTTAAGCAGCTTATCCCCCCATCTCCACATTGCTGAAATAGTCCAATGGAAAGGCAAGAGCCAATACAACTGGTTCCAGCGATGCCGCAGGAGTTGCCAGAACGACACAAACTGCCTCTGGGACTCCGGCTCCGGATTTTGCCTCAAGGTTAACTCCTCAAGCCTTTTCCATCAGTGGATATAGCCCCAAGGCAGTGGAGGTTTGGAATCAGAGTTTTCCTTCTCCTAGATGGGCTGCCTTCCCAGGCTAACGAGCCCCACCTACCAGGGTGATAGCCGTAATATAAAATAACCCCCTGCATTTAAGATCATTTTAGAAGTATTTCTTCAGGTTTTGTGTACTATTTCTGAACCATTCCTTTAAAAAGATGATAATTTCTCAAAGAAAGCAAAGGAATAATTTTTCAGGAATAATTGTGGCACCGAGTGGCACCAACTAGCACATCGGAACAAATGCTTCATTTGGATGAACCCAGTTTTTGTTAATTTGTTCCCCAACTCACTAGCTCTGTTAGTTATTTTGTTTTTATTTTGTGCTGCTAAAGAAGCTGTATTTCTTGTTTAATTTATAGTTGATATTTTATTTTATAGTATGTGTGCACACACTGATGTATAAATATGCTATTTAAAAAATCCCTTTCTGGGAGAACAATGCATTATTTAAAAAAAAATTAAAGCTACTTAAAAATATTAAAAACTACATAAAATGTTAAGATCAACAACAATAAGGAAGCCCCTACAGCTTATTAAGACTATGATCCTTACTCCACAAAGGCTGTGATAAATGACCATGTTTTAACCTGGCACAGAAATGAGATCAGTGCTGGTGTGAGTCGAGCCTCTACCATAAATGAGGTGCTAGAGTCCCATATCTTCGCACAGGGCAGAGGTCGTCAACTCCCGGTCTGCGGCCCGGTGCCAGTCCATGGCCTGAGCCAGACAGGGCCACAAAGATAGACCTCCTGCCCTCCCCGCACACACTCCTCTCCCCACAGTTGCTTTGCGCATGTGTGCAGGTGCCAGCGCTGGCATGAGCGCTCCCTCACCCCTTCACGTGTGTGTCTGAGTGCCTGAGTGCCCGCGTGAAGAGGTGGGTGGGTGCACAGGTGGTTGTGCAGGTGCCGCTGTGCATGCGCAAAGAGGTGGCGGAGCGCTCACGCTGGCACGTGGGCGCTCCCCACCACTTTGTGCATGCACCTGAGTACCCGTGCACCTGCGTGAAGTGGTGGGTGGGCTGGCGGGCGTGCAGGTGGGTGCTCCCCCACTGCTTCGCACATGCGCCCAAGAGCGCATCCACACTCATGCGTACCTACAGGGGCCCCCACCTTCCTCAGAGGCTCATCCAGTCCGTGGTCTCAAAAGGGTTGGGGACCACTGGCATAGGGGATTGTTCTCCATGTTGCAACACAGAGAGGTCTGTCCTTTCAAGGTATTAAGGACAGGGCAAGTATACATAAAAAGAGTCATTTCCTCAAATGTCCAGGCCCCAAACCATTTGTGGAGGGGGGAGGCTGAAAATGTTTTTTCTTTGTAACAAAGAGAAGTTGCTTTAATTACTAATTTGCAATATATCTTACACTTCTCTTCAGTGTCTTACATGTACTGTGACAAACCACTTATACTTGCTAGCTGGGACTAGCTGCAAGATAATCTTTGTGTTTATATTTCTCAGAGGTTAACACCCCTACCACTCATATTTTTAATAATACTTACATCCTGTACACACAGTTATCCAGGCAACCTTTTGGAAATGGATACTTTCCCAGAGCTTTGTTTAGACTCCTTAAAATCAGCCTAGATGCTTCTCCTAAGCAGCTCATAGCTAAACCAATGCTGAGGCTTGACAAGATTATCTTCCATTTCCAATGTACTGATTGAAGAATTAATCAGAGACAAATTCAGAAATAGTCTGTTGCTATTTAAATGAAGTTCCTTCTTTTCTGAATCTAATTTTTAACTTGCAGTCCACCTTATCAGATGCATAAAGTTTTGTGCTGAATTACATATATGGTTGCCAGGGTAAGACAAAAACAATACGGTCAGTAGGAAACAAAAAGTAGTAAATATAAATAGGGTATTGAGCAGGAGGCTGGACTCGATAGCCTTATAGGCCCCTTCCAAGTCAATTATTCTAAGATTCTATGACTCTATGTTAATCAGTTCACTGATGGAATGATCTCTGTGTTACTACCTGTTTTGTGAAAGGCTATCTCTAATAAGGTAAATACCTCTGCATTTCATTTTCTGTGTGACACAATTTATACTTTATCTAAACCATGCGTGTATACATATTTGAAATTCAATGTAACATTCCAATCATATGTTGGAGCAGCTTTTAACTCAAGAATAGTAAACATGTTAGTATCTAAGGTGCTAAGTTTTCTGACTCTCTGCTGTTTGAGGAAACGTCAGTTCTGCAATTATGTACAACCCAAAACTGCCAACGTACTTATTTCCTCTAACTTTCAAATACAACACTTAGTTTTATATTAGTACTATTAAGATAATACTGATATCCAACGTGTGCACTTAAAATAAATCACAGACAAAGATGTGACTCATAACAGATAGAGGAGATGTGGGGTTTTTAAATGAATAGAAGGATGAAAACTGTGACTCAGAAAATAACATGAAAATTGTAATGGGTGATTTTCTTAAACATTATAGTAGGTTAGTACAAGTATACTTTTTGGATTTAATATAGCAGAGCTGCAACATTCCCAAAAGACACAGTCTTTTCAGACATTGTGTTATCAACATAATATTTTTCATTTCTAAACACTACTGCTAATACATTTATCACAAACACACATCAGCTTTTGTAAGTCTCAATAAAGAAAAATATCACATTTTATTATCCTCATCTTCATCCACATTCACTTCTTCTTGTCATAAAATTCAAAAATACTTGTCAGAATGATTGTTTTGAATTTACCCTGCATCCAGTTGGCACAACACCTGTAGTATTCTTTGGCATATCTTTGTGAGGGGTCAGTACTGGGGGCAGCACCAATGCAGACATAATAATAATAACTGCATGCTATCAAGTCAATTCTGACTTACTGCAACCCTTTCCAGGGTTTTCTAGGTACAGAATATTCAAAAGTGCTTTAACATTCCCTTCTTCTTGGGGGTGCCTTGGAACTGTGCAGCTTGCCCACGGCCACACAAACTGGATCTTCTGCTGGGAAGCACAGTGGAGAATTGAACTCCCAACCTCTTGTTCTGCAGTCAGATACCTAAACCACTGAATTATCCAGCCAACTTAATATTAATCATGCGCTGTCTAGTCAATTCTGATTTATAGCATGCTTTTCAGGGTTTTCTAGGTAGAGAATACTCAGAAGTGGTTTACTGCTCTCTCCTTCTGGGGTTGCCCTGGGAATGTGCAGCTTGCCCAAGGACATATAGGCTGGTTCTACTTGTAGGAGGCATAGTGAGGAGCTGAATTGCCAACCTCTAGCTCTGCAGCCAGATAACTAAACCACTGAACAATCCAGCAGACATACTGAACTTATATTTCAACAGCTGGCTGACTGATCACTCCCTGGCCCTGTTCCTCCTCTTCCTTCAACTCTGACTGTTCACCTGCTTTCTCCAAGTATCTGAGCAATGACAAGAAGCAAAGGGTTTCTCTTAGCCCTGAAAAACATGGAGATAGCAGGGCTCTGTCTGAGTACATCCTACCCAATACTTTGTGGAAACAATGAAGGAAAATTGCTAGAGCTGACAGGGAATGCCTGAACCAACAACAGAACACAAATACTTTGAAGTCAACCTTTAGCTATTCCAAAACTATCAATGCATACATTATTATTTTCTCCCTTCTTACCAGATTCAGTGTGTTTAGTGAGATGCTTGTGATTGGTAAACCTTGCTGTAGAGTCTTGTGAGGGTAGCCTTTCCTCAAGGTCAGATTCTGGTATGGTAGTGCAGCCGCCTACATTGCAAATCAGATATTTGTAACTGAAGCAACATAACAGTATAAAAATAATACATAATCATAACCAAATCTATAATACTTCATAAAGCATCGAAAAAACAAACTGTTCCTCAATAGTTGATCAAGCAGGTTAAAAACAGCACTTTCCTAATGGTTTTTCTAAATATTGTAGAACCCTGACACCCTCTGACCACAGGAAGCGTAAGTGCAAACTATCTGCAGACAGCATCAGACACAACTGCAAAAAGTCTGGGTGCACAACTAAGACTGCAAACTAGTTCGTGAGCTGCATTATTCCAGATTTCAGTTTGGGGATCAAATGACTAATATTCAATCACATATCAGATTCCTACACTTTGAAAATCAGAATGCCAGAAAAAAGAAAAAAAATCACTGAAATTTTGTTATCTGTATTAGTTTTTTATGCATAGTTTATTTTTTGCTATTTGAAAACATTTAGTAATGAAAATATTATCTACAGTCTGATGTATATGTCATATCCAGATACAGTGTATGCTCAGTCCAGTATGGAAGTGTATGTTACAGAAGTGAATTATGTGGTGAAAGCACTGGATATTGCATCTGTTAACTTTATAATACCAAGGGGGAAACCCTTGAACAAGTTCTTTCCTGGTTATCATAAGAGGACTCATTTCCTAAGATACAATGACTTATACAGTTACATGTGGTATAATATGAAAGCAGCTCTTTTAATAGATGCTGGAAGATAAAAAGAAATGATATACTTTTAGGAGAACAGTGCATTTCACAAAAGAAAATGGAAAGCAGTACTAAGGTATAGCTTGGAGAGCTGTATGCATATGGTGAATTTCTTGTTAAAGAAATCGAAGAATCAATACATATACTGGAAGGAGCTCATATATAAAATATATTCAAATAAAGAAAAAAAGAAAGAAATCTTTATTAAAATGTAAGTTGAATCTTGCTGTTTGATGTATGCTATAGCCAAACAAGATTATAAGATATTTGAGTTGTAATCTAATAAAGTTGTTACATTTAGCTGACAATTACATGTACATAATGCATTCCTAGATGATATATTATCAACAAAATCTGCTGGACCCACATCCCTCCCTTCTTATGTGAAAGGAAGTAATTTTAAGAAACATAAGAAAACTATTTTTCTCAGTTTGTTCTGAATGGAAATCTAGTTTCTCAGATAAAATCCAAGTTAAAGATGCTATGGACATAATAAAACATGAGAGAATCATGTCCTTTAAATGTATTTTGTAACACTGAAGTTATGTTCAAAATGTCACGTAGCCCATTAGTATGTATTAGGTTTCTGTGTATATGCAAAAACTCTGAAAGTTTGTTTTGAAAACTGAAATCCCAAAGGTTATATAACCTTGAAAATTAATACATTTTATACCAAACCATTTCATTAGGCATCAGCACGATCTTCCTACTGAAGGTAATATAATCATTGTTAAAAAATGTCACTTTGCCCTATGGCACCTCCAGCAATTGGCTGGAAGGAAGTGAGACATCCTGATGTTGGTTTTGATGTCAAAGGTGTGTAAGGATATACTTATCAACAGACACTATCAAAAAGCAGCAATATTAAAAGCAAAAGTTATTTCTTCCATTGTCTTACTTCCCCTATATAGATATGCAATTAATGTGTTTACTACTTGATAAACATAACAGTACCAGTGTGAAGAGATTTGAAAATGACAGTAAAACATTATCATTCAACTGTTTCTTACCATCACAACACAACTACATTCAGCTCTTTTTCTAGACATCAGTTTAATTCCTCTATAAGGCACGAATATAAACTTTAAAGTTCTTCTAATTCCCTTCCATCCTTCTCATTGATTTAACACAGCTTTTTAAAATAAAGCTCATAAGGTATCCTCTGATAGCAGTTCATAGGCATCCTTCAGTCTCGAGAGACTATGGTAATGTGCTGTATGCGAAGCTGGATTGTCCTCTCCAGAGCACGAAGCCTGGGTAAAATAATATGGAGGATAGGCTGTTACCCAAGCAGCTTATCCCCCCTTTCCACATCGCTCAAATAATCCAATGGAAAGGCAAGAGCCAATACAACTGGTTCCAGCGATGTCGCAGAAGTTGCCAGAACGACACAAACTGCCTCTGGGACTCCGGCTCCAGATTTTGAGAGACAGTGAGAAAAGAGAGAGGGTACTTGTCCTTAAAATAATTTATAGCCCAGGAACTGGTTCACCCAAGTACATTGCTTGATTTTTCTCTATTGATTAATATAGGAGCTGGTCTCAAATTGGGATAATTCAAAATAAATGCCTCAGTGCTCACCATGATCATATCAGGCCAATCACAGATGATTCCAAAGTATAGGCCCATCATGCCATGGGCTCCCTATTCAACAAATGGAATCCTAGCCATACATATTCATTTTCCTTTTATTTATTTGATGAAGCAGTTTATCACTAGTGCCTTAATAAACTTAAATGCTAGTAGGAATCATATGTAAGCTGCCTTTTTATATATTGTTCTTAGCTTTAAATATGATCTAATGATGTAAACTACATTGCATACTCATTATTTTCAGCTTTAAATACTGTCTTTCATTGGATCCTTTTTAAGGAGAAAAGTGTGGTAATGTATTTTAAATAAATAAATAAATATAAATCCACAGATTGCTTCCAATTACATTATGTGTTCCATCACTTGTTCTTTAAACAATACATATATGTACAGTACATACATTGTGTGAAAAAAACACAAGTGTGCATGAGAGATTGAGAGAGTATACATATGCAGTCATACAAGACTGAAATTCAGGATTCAGTACATCATTTCTGAGTATATTTAAAGATATATGTATCAAATTGTATACACATGCCCTTCATGCTAGTTTATTCTTTGGTACCCATATAAGAGTGCAAAATGCAGATATTCAGCTGTTTTATATAAGTAAAACACAGAATGCAAGGAAAGAAACATGGGAACATAACTAGTTTGAAGTACAGTGGGGTCTTGACTTGAGAACTTAATCCGTATTGGAAGGCGGTTCTCAAGTCAAAACGTTGTCAAGTCAAATCTGCATTTCCCATAGGAATGCATTGAAAACCATTTGATCCGTATCTGCTCTTTTCCGTCCATAGAAACTAATGGGAACCTGCTATTCCACCTTCGACCACTAGAGGGGGATATTTTGTTTCTTTTTTTCTTAGGTCAAGAAAGGTTCAGGGAAGGCAGGGAAAATACAGTCCAGGCAGTACAGTACCAGGCAGTC